TCGAGGCTGAAAATCACGGACGCGGTTTGAGATCGGACTGCAGCCCGGCCTGCTGACCGTCGTCAGTAGGAAGGAAGTCCGCTCTCTGGACGAATTGCGGACACGAGCGAATCACCATCAGGCAAAACCGCCAAATAAAGCTGTAGCACCGGGAATCGCCACTGAGCCATTTTCTGGCGCCACAGCGACCCCTGCGGCGAAGAATTGTCGGGACTGCAGCTCGGAGACGGGGCTGCGGATCGGCTTTGGAAGCGTTTTGACTTCTGGCTTGGACTTCTTCATTGCCCGAGGCGCCCGCTGTGCTCACCACCACCGTGGACCCGCGGTGCGGCCGACAAACCGCGGACCGGCGCAAGTTCTCAAGTTCTGACCCAACCCTGGAGGGCGCGAGTGAGAAGCCCTCAGGCCGGCCGGCTCTGAGCCCTGACCGCGGTACAGGCGCTCCCCAGGGATGTGGTATCAGCGCCTCGAAGGGGGAAATAATGGCGAAAGACCCCCGGAGACAGCGACGCACTGGAGCCAAGGACCGTGCTGTCCGAGTACGGTGGGCACAATAAAAGGAACGCAGCCGCGACGGATTTCGGTCTTGGAAACTTTGTCCTCTTTCAGGCGGCCGGGAACGAATGTCAGCAGACACTTGCCCGGTGGGAAACGAGCATTTCGACGGCATCCGTACGAAATCCGCTAACAGACAACGGACGAATTTCCAGCATTTAGAAACGACGTAGAGCTGCACGTAGACGAACCGAAAACGAACCGCAGACACGGTGTCCTGACCGCACCTGGTGCAACTCGGTGTCAGGCTTTTCCTCACGTCCTACAGTTCGTGTTTCGTGTACGAGGTTATGGTGGAATCCTGCCGCAGTCGGCCTGGCAGAGCCATATTGTGGCCGCTATAGGAAAGAACGAGGCAGAAAACCGCGGGCCCGGTTTGAAATCGCGGTCCGGGCCGTCTAACCGCGCATCGAATCGGCTGGAAGGGCGAGTCCTGGGCACGCGCGGATGAATGAACGACAACACCGCAAGATCTGGCTCTGTGCTCCTGGAATCGCGGCCTGGCTGAATTCCAGCGCCACAGCGACCCCTGGAGTGAAGAAGTGTCCGCTGGGAGACGGAGGTGCAGGTCAGTGTCAGGTGAGTTTTGGCTTCAGGTTTGAATTTTCTTGGCCCCGGCTCCGGCTCTGCTCACCCACCCCCGTGGACTCGGGGCCCGCGGACGAACCGACAACTGGAGCAGGTTCGCGGGGCCGCTCACAATCTCGGAGAACGCCAGTGAGAATCCTCAAGCCTGCCGGGTCCGGAGTCTTTCCCGCCTTACCAGGGCTCCTGGGGCCACAGCCACCTCGCTAACCAAAAAGGTCGGCGATACTGGGTCTGCGAGCGCAGTACTCGAGCCCTGGACCGTGCTGTTCCCGAAAACCGTCAGCTCCACAGAAGGAACGCAGGCGCGACGAAGATTCCGCGGTGCGAACACCGCATTTGTCTCCCCCAGGCGGCCGGTTCGGATGTCCTGGGAGACCTGACCGACTTCGGTGGGCACTGAATCCGCTAAGGTTAGAAAGCCCAGGAAGTATGGCGTTCAGAAAGGCCTCGGTCCTTTCCTATAAGGACTGCGATCTGGTTGTGCCAGGCTGGCTGCAGCCGGATGCGACCCCAACCACGAACAGGACGACCAGAGGACAAGGACACAAGAAATGTTTGTCGCCTGGTACAAGTGGTGCTTCCGATGTGTTCGGAACCCTGAGGTTTCTGTTCGTTTTCGCGCCCTCTGGCTCCATCCTCCGTTGTTTCTAAACGCTGAAACTTGGATTTTTTTTTTTTTTTTCGTTATCGGATTCAGTGCCGACTGCCATCGGCCAAGACACGTTTTCTCCGGACAAGTGTCCCAAGACATCCCTGCCCGACTAACTGGAACACCACAAGTTCCGTGTTTTCACGACCTTATCTCCGTCTCCGCTGCCTTCCCTTGGTTCCTCTGATGGTTTTCAGGGACAGCAGGGTCCAGGGCTCGAGTGCGGCGCTGTCTCCTGTGGCCTTCGCCCTTTTGCCTTCTCTTCTCCGTTCTCAGCGCGGCTATGGCTTTTGTACCGCGGGAAAGACGCCTGACCGCGCCGGCGTGATGGCTTCTCACTCTCACCCTCCGGGGTTGTGAACGGCCTCGAGATCTGTGCCATTCGGTGCTTAGTGTTCGGGTCCTCAGGTCCCACGGTGGTGGGTGGGCTCAGCCAATGAAGAAGTGCGAGCCAGAAGCAGAAATGCTTTGATACCAGTCTGCAGCTCTGTCTCCCAGCAGAAGGCCGGACTTGTTCATGGCAGTGGTCCTTGTGGCGCCCGCACTCATCCGCGTGGTGATTTCATTGCTTTGGAGTTACTGGATCCGCTTTTAGCGAGCCTGTGTCCGTGACTCGACCTCCGAGTCGATGTCCCACGATAGACGATGTTGTGCAATGGACTTTTTCAGCTGGAAAATTTTACTAATTCGTCCTCCCCCCCTCCCCAGAAGACTACAAATACGCAGGTCCAGAGCTTGCAAAAATCTCCACCGCCTTCACCAGGGCACAGGCTGCTGTTTGCACGAAGAACGGAGAAAGGATGGCGAGAGGACAAAGGAACAGGAGACACTGCCACACTGGAGCCCTGAACTGTGTTCTAGCCCTGAACGGTCCTGGAGAACATGAGTCATCCGGCACTTGACCTTCGTGGACACTTGACCGTCGTGGACACTTGACCATGTTCGAGCCCTGGGTGATGCTGCACCCATTTCGAAACCCTTGACAAAACGAAAGGAAAACAGAGACTACGGAGATTCGGTCGTCCATCCACCGAATTGGTCCTCTTTCAGGAAGCCGGGGTCGGATGCCTTGGGACACTTGCATGGCGGAAAACGTGCGTTTCGACAGCATCGGTATGAAATCGCCTAACAACAGACAAGGGACGAATTTCCAGCGTTTAGAAACGATGG